GGAGAAAAGGGGTCTGTATTCTACTCTACTCTACTCTACTCAACTCAGTAATTGATTCCATCACAATCACACACAGAGCGCCCTGTTAAGTAAAAGTAGTGAGCCTCCTGGACTGGTCAACAACAACATCACATCAGGAGACCATGGATAAGTAAGTCATATATTGCCCCGCCCGATGCTTGACTATTCTCCCCTTATTCTATGAATTATATACCACCACAAAACCAACACCGTTTTCGCTACTGTATCCACACACTTTTACCACAAACAATCTATACAATCTTCATCCAATAATATATGGTAGAGTTCTTGTGTATTTTTCTCCATTTCAAATTTTTTGCAACGAGAATGAAAGTAGGAAGGATAATTTGGTCTTTACAATTAGTTATTTATTTCATATAAAAAATATCAATATAAGGATTTGAACTCAGGTCTCTTCAAACAAAGACAACAATCACAACCAATATGAACATTCCGACCAACAGGACGGGTTATAAGCTAGTATATAATAGCAGGAAGGGGAAAACTGTTGCTCCATTTCAAACTATCTTATAACCCGGCTCGTTGGCCGGAATATTCATATTCGATTATTTATATTTTCATGTTACGTTTACATCTATCAATCCGTTTAATTTTATTGACAATCTTTCTATTGAGATGATACATAAAGAATGAATATATATATATATCGAATATTTGGAGAAATATCATCATCATTTAATAATATAAAATATAAAAATGTATCATTGATCCCATTTTCATTATGATAATTAAGTCCCCGGTAAAATGCTATTGGTTAGTTGATTGTTAAGAAAGATGTAGTATAAAAGCTTGTTGAAATTCCCACACGAACCATAGATAGTTTGAAACTAAGTCTTAAACCTCGCAATCCTACATGAAGGTTCAATGCTCTCCTTTAATAAAAAAGAAACGGAAAGTTGTTGATTCAAGTCAACTATATACTAACAACTCAATTAAGGAGGACCATCAAAACTTGAGAGCAAACGCCAAAATTAGGGTTACCTCCAATATACTAATAGACTCGATCAAAGTAATAAGGAACAAAATTATACACTCAGTTCTAGTAGGTTGAATAAAGAATTAGACGGCCTACTTTAGTAAATCAATCAATGATTCCTCGTTTTAAGATAAAAATAGGTTGTGATAGCTGCAAAAACCATAAACCTAAAGATCCAATAGCCACCACTCTCTGTTGTACAATCAAATTTTTATCTACTCGATCTTCAATCTCAAGAGGCATATGTTTCAACCAAAAATTCAATTTCTAATCCTCCATCTGCAACTCCATTTATTAAACTCAATTCTATTCACCATGGATTGATATCGGAGTTAAAATCTTCTACTTTCCTAGTTTTAACCCCCAACAATAAAATCGTAGTGTCAAGAGATACTCGAAGATTGATTTTCAAAGGCGGCCTTGTACTATGAAGTGAAAGAGGCGCAAACTATTGCACGATGGAGGGAATTTCGAAGGAAGTTAGAAAGATATAAGAACAAAGATAAAAAAAAATACTAAATTTAAATATAAGTTGAAAAATGCAAGGACACAACATGTATTAATAGAATTAGTTCTTCCATGTTAGCCAATTACCAATTTAGATTTAGCAAAAATTAAGGAGAGAGCAGTAATTTTAAAATTGAGAAAACTACATGAAACTCAGCTATGAAAATTGCAGTATCAAACACCATAAAAATACATACGATAGACTTAGTGGGCTTGTTAATCATGATGGAAAAGTCCTCTGATTTTCATAGTGTCACTTCGTGTATGTTTTATATTAAAAAAGATACAACAAATTTGTTTAGTGTAATTGGTTATGATTGTTGTCTTTGTTTGAAAAGACCTTGGTTCAAATCTTGACATTGACATTTTTTATATGGAATAAATAATTAATTGTAAAGACAAAAATATCTTTCATACTTTCACTCTCGTGGCAGGAAATTTGAAATAGAGAAAAATAGACAAAACTCTACTATATATTATTGGAGGATTTCCTGCAACTAAAGTGAAAGTAGGAAGGACATTTTGGTATTCACAATTGAAATAGAGAAAAATAGACAAAACTCTACTATATATTATTGGAGGATTTCCTGCAACGAGAGTAAAAATAGGAATGACATTTTGGTCTTCACAATCACTTTTTTTATTCATTAAAAAGACACGTACTGAGGTTTGAACCATGACCACTATAAAGACAAGCAAGGATCATAACAAATCACACTAAGTACACTTGTTGTATCTTTTTAAACTAAAAACATATAATAGCAGGGAGGAAAAAACACTTCCCCCATTTCAAGTTCCCTACTCGAGGAGCGTTTGTAGGAAGGGTAGAATAGGGAGTTTCAATTTTTTCTCTTTCCTCTGTGGAACGGGCCAACTTACCGTACACATGTGGATTTAAACGGGTCGAGGAGTGTCAAATTTTTTTTAAGCTATTTTATTTCTCGGTGGTGGTAAAATATATATGAAAAGGCAAAAACAATACTCATTTTTATTGCTAAAAAGAAAAAAAATTAACAATAAACTAATATATGGATTCTAATGGGCTAACCGCTAACCACAAAATAAAAGAGTTGAATAGGCTTGACCTACACGGGATTTGGCCATTAAGTAAAACCAATGAACATCGCGGGTTTGTCATTCTAAAACAAGCTATTTTCTCTAGTATAATATATCTTAGTGGCTTGAATATAATATATTTTAAAGTTATTCAATGTTCGACCCCGACCAACCCAATCAGTCCAATTTTTATCATTTCAAATATATATTATGCAATTATTTGATATCTTTATGATTAAATTATAGTGTATTTTATAGGGAATCATTTTGTATTTGTTAGTAAAAAAACTAACAAATGACTACAAGATGAAAGTTTTATAAAACAAATTAATCGGCCAACGGACCGAGTAAAAGCTAGCAACGATTGTGAGAGGCTAATTTCCCGAAAACCGGCGGGATAGACGATTTTTTATTCGATTTTTTGTTCTCATTCATACACTCAATTTTATTATATGCCTTTCCGAGAACTTCTATTTTGCTATAAGGCATTGGTGCTTTAATATACAACTTGAAGTTGTACTATAACATTAAATGTATAAGTTCAGGTTGTACCATACAAGAATTTGTATCCTTATGTTATGGTATAACTTTACAACTTAAAGTTGTAACGTAAAATAAAGGTACAAGTTCAAGCTGTACCATAAAAGAATTTGTACAAAAAAGTATAGGTACAATATGAAGTTGTACCATAACATTAAAAGTACAATTTCAAATTGTATCATAAAGTCAAAAACCTATAACACCAATACTATATAGCACTGCAAAATTCCTCAAGCCTTTCCCCCTATATGCAATTGTAAGCAATGTAGTCAAAAACGAGTTTCTACGTAGAAACGTTTTGGTGATCTAGAAGCGTAAAATCGTAAGTTTTTAAGTTTTAAAGCGGAGTTTTTAACTATATAAGTTGTAAAAACTAAGATTTTGTGTAGAAGCGTTTTAGTGACCTAAAAACGTAAAATCGTAAGTTTTTAAGTTTTAAATCGTGATTTTGACTACATTGATTGTAAGTTTTGTAGGTACTTTGTTGTTTCCTAAAATTCATTGCACATCATAGAAAAATGACGTATTACAAATATTTTTTTATATATAATAAGGGTGATATATATTTGCTTTATAAGTAAGTGTTAGTTAAAGCGATTGGAACTGAGGCCTCCGCGTTTAAAATCAATGATATTATCACTAAATCAAATATCAAATTACGTAAGTGCTCCGTAGTAATTAAAGACTACATTAATATAAATGTAAATTACTTGGATTATTTTGTCAATTCTTTCATTTTAACTAAATTATTTAATGAATGTACGAAGTTTTATTATAATTAATTTATGTTCCGTGAAGGAGGGCCAAGCTAGGTTTTTTTATTCAATCTAAGTAATTATAGATTTTTTATTGGTAAATATGCTCTGAAATTTGTGATTGATTAATTGATGAAATTACATGAAAAGAAATTAATTATATAAATACAGGTTAATCACTTAATCTACGCCATTAATTAATAAATGGGAAATTTCAAATACGAGAATAACGGTTATAATCATAGTTAGTAATTACTCCATTGAATACACGTATATATGTCCGTACATATTTGATCCGTTTACAATTTCCATATCCGTATTGTTGACAAGCTGTTTCAATTTTCCCCGTTCAATTTATGTCTCTCGTACTAAACACATATAAAACTCGTATAACACGTTTAATATCTATATTAATAAATTAAATGACTAACTTAACTGTTAATTATATATTAATTTATTTGATATATTATTATTATACGTACCATTAGTTTAGGGATAAAATAAAATACTTGTATGAAATACATAACTTACCTATATCTTATTTTACTAAAATCTCATTTACATTTTGACCCGAGCCACTGTCTACTTCCAAGAAGCTTCCTGTTTTGTGTGAACACGTAGCAAAGACATTTCTTTTCAATTTTCCCGTCAGTCTCCTCCGCTTTTTAAACACATAAATCCCAGCGTTGTTTGATTACCTCGCAATCCTCTCGTCCCCTCCCTGATAGAATCGCCCATTCATCAAATCCATGATCATGGATCCACACGACCTCGGATTCTCCACTTACCCAGATACCTACACCTCCCAGATTCCTTCCGACGAATCCATCATGTTCCCCAATTCCGACTATCATCACCAAATTCAAAACAACCCATCCTCCGCCGCCGTCGATCATCATCAGTTCTTCAGCGGCGCGCCCTTCGACCCACCAGACAGCAACAGCCCCGACAGCTTCGGCCTATCCTTCACCTTGAGCCCCGGCGGAGAGTCGTTCCTCTTCTCCACCGATTCCCAATCGGCGACGTCCGGCTGGAGCCCCGAAGCAGAGCATCAGCAGCAGGTTTCTTCCCCTTGGGATGACAGCTCCGATTCATCCGACCCAATCCACAAGTACATCAACCAGATGCTGACGGACGAAAACATGGACGCCAAGTCTTATCTCTGTTACGACCCCTTGGCTCTCAGAGAAACAGAGATGTCTCTCTACCATGTTATCGGCGAGCAGTACCCTTCCCACCCCTCCACCTCCTCCTCCAATTCTCCCCTCAATCTCATCAACGGAGACCTCGACCTCTCCGTCAGCGATTACGCTGGATTTGCTGGCTCCACTGAATTCCTCGATCCCCAGTGGAACGCTCTGGCTACTACTACTTTCGGAGATTCGAGGAAAACCTCTGTTCTTACTCTGCCCTACGATTGGCAGCAGCAGCCGGCGGCCGCTCCTTCTTTCGACGACATGATGAAGAATATGTTCAGCAATGAGGAATCCGTTCTCCAGTTCAACAAAGGGCTAGAGGAAGCTCAGAAATTCCTCCCCGTCCCCAATACCCTGCTCGTCGATTTGGAAACCAACTCCCAAAACGTGAACAGTATCAGTAGGAAGAACAATCACAAGAGGGAAGAGGATTCAGAATTAGAGGAAGGAAGGAGTACAAAGCAGACTGCAATCCATCACGAGGAAGAAGGGGAACTAACGGAGATGTTCGACAAGGTACTGCTGTTGCCAGAGGGGCAGCCAATCTGCTGTGGGATGGAGTATCAGAAGCAGCCGGAGGTCCCCGAGAAAAAATCATCCCCGAAGCACAACGGCGGCCGAAAAGCGCGCGGCGGCGGCAAGAAACAAGGGAAGAACAAGAAGGACGACGAAGAAACGGTTGATTTGAGAGGGCTTCTCGTCCTCTGCGCACAAGCCGTGTCTTCCAGCGACTTCAGGACCGCGAACGAGCTTCTCAAGCAAATCAGACAGAATTCTTCCCCAACCGGCGACGGATCCCAGCGCCTCGCCCATTTCTTCGCCAACGGGCTGGAGGCGCGTTTGGCCGGCAGCAGCCCTCAGATCCCCAATTTCTTCTCCTCAATTAGCTCCAACAGAATCTCCGCCGCGGATATCCTGAAAGCCTACAAGACCCACCTCCAGGCATGCCCGTTCAAAAAATTGTCGATTCTGTTCGCCAACAAGACGATCTACCACGCGGCGGAGCACGCCGCCACCCTCCACATCGTCGATTTCGGGATAATGTTCGGCTTCCAGTGGCCGATCCTCATCCAGTTCCTCGCGATGCGCCCCGGCGGCCCTCCCAAGCTCCGGATCACCGGGATCGAGCTCCCGCAGCGAGGGTTCCGGCCGTCGGAGCGCAACGAGGAGACAGGCCGCCGCCTCGCCAAGTACTGCGAGCGGTTCGGGGTGCCGTTCGAGTACCATCCGATCGCGTCGCAGAATTGGGAGTCCATCGAAATGGAGGATTTGAAAATCGAGGCAGGGGAGGTGGTCGCGGTGAACTCGCTCTGCCGGCTGAAGAACCTTCTGGAGGAATCGATCGATTCGAATTCGCCGAGGAACGCGGTGCTGAAGCTGATCAAGAGGATGAAGCCGGACATCTTCGTGCAGACGGTGATCAACGGCGCGTACAACGCGCCCTTCTTCGTGACGCGGTTCAGGGAGGCGCTGTTCCATTTCTCGTCGCTGTTCGACATCTTCGAGTGCACGCTGGGGCGGGAGGACCCGGAGAGGATGATGTTCGAGAGGGAGATCTACGGGCGGGAGCTGATGAACGCGGTGGCGGCGGAAGGAGCGGAGAGGGTGGAGCGGCCGGAGACGTACAAGCAGTGGCAGATTAGGAATGTGAGGGCCGGGTTCAAGGCGGTGCCGTTGAGCAAGGAGCTGTTGGAGAAGGTGAGGGGGAAGATGAAGTCGATGTACCACAAGGATTTTGTACTGGATCAGGATGGCAACTGGATGTTGCAAGGATGGAAAGGACGGATCATCTATGCGTCGTCGTGTTGGGTGCCAGCTTAGATACAGAGCAAGAGCAGGGTTTTTTTTTTTAATTAATGTTGGCGTAGTTTTGGAGTTTGGACGGATGACATTAATGATTCGAGATTTAGTTTGTTTGAGTGCGGTATCAGGAGTTCAAGACAAACCGTTGCAAAAATATAGGAGATTCATTATCGATCTAGTACAACGTAACGTAGGGTGTTAACCAGAATGTCTGGAGATGGCCAGCGAGTGTTAGTTTCTACTTTGTAGTGAAATAGTTTAGTTTTGCGTTCTCACTCTTTGCTCGTGGATTGATTTTCGGTTATTATTCATACTAGGGGTTGAATTATTCATACTAGGTGTTGACCCGGTCAGTTGGTCGGATTTTTTTTTTTCCAGTTGCAGAGCCCTAACAAAATAAATTATATATAGTTTTTTTTTCTTAATTGGAAGTTAACTCGTATGTCATGAAATTAAATTAATGTTTGATCATGAAACTAAATAGATCTATTTATTCAACAATACATTCCCACCAGAAACAAAAAAAAAAAAAAACAAACAAAATCAATATTCAACCTTTAAACACTAACTCTCAACTCAACCTAAGGGAAAAAATTCATTAATTTTTAGGCTATGTATCCATTATCCACCGAGAGCCTACATATACTAAATTAACTATGAACGCTACTACCGCAAATAAGAAAATGTTTCAAAACTAATTATGATAAATATTTTCATAAACGATTTGTCTAATTTTATTCAAATTTTAAACCCCAAGAACCTAAGGAAATATGTCTCTAGTAGCCAATAGATATTTTCTTTCACCATTTTTTTTACCAATAGATCACTTGTATTATCATGGCAAAAAGCTAGCAATGTTTACAACCCAAGAGCAAACCAACGACTAAAATCAAAAGTATCTACAACCGCAGGCAACAAAGAAAGGGTCTTCCTAGCCACCTCATGGGCCACGCGATTGTTACTCCTGTCAATAAAGGCCATCTCCAAGCGCAGGTAATGATGCCGCAATTTCCGGATTTCTTCAAGAATCCGCCTACCTTTCATATCCCAAGCATCCATATTCTGAATTTTCTCAATGACGACCTTCGCATCCCCGCAGAATTGCACTTCAACTAGACCCTTCAAAGAGCACCACTGAATTGCATCACGAAACGCCACCAATTCCACCAGAAATGGATCCTCCAAACCTGCATAATGAAAACTTTGCACAAAACATACCCTCCCCAACCCATCATAGACCACCAAGCCCCCAGCCCCATGCGACCCGGAGAGGACGACGCCATCTACGTAGCAGTGATAGGGCATAGGAGCCTGATGCCCTCGATCCACACACTAACCTATCCACGCACCTGCCGCCCCTGGTCCTGACTACCACGACTAGACTCGACCAGAGCCAATCACTCACGAACCTGCTCCTCATATTGCCTCACCCGTGTACTCACCCCATACTGGACATGGTCAAACACCACCCAATTCCGACTATTCCATATCCTCCAAAGTAATGCCACAAACCGAATTACCCTCTCTACATTGGATTCCTGTTCAAAGAATCGGCAAAGGAACAAGGCAAAATTCAACGGAGGCTGCCTCACCTGTCCTACCTCCAAGCCCGACCTCTCCCACAACACCATTGCTAGCCTACATGAGAGAAACATGTGCTCCAATGTCTCCAACGGCGCCCAACACACCAGACACCTGGGATTGATAGCCGTAGCATCCTCAGGATCAGGATGCACTTCCTCCGGTACTCTACCTGTCCTCTCAATTATAGCTTCCATAGTAGGAAGGATCCGCTTCATGATTTGCCATAAGAAGCTCTTCAATTTTGGAGGAATGGGAAGTCCCCACATCTTTTCCCAAAAAGCCATATAAAAGAAAGAGACCTCAGCCTTCCAATCCTGGACCCTTTTGGCATACAAAAAAGCCAAATGATATCCCGATTCACCGAATACTCCACATCCCCCTCACCTGTCCAGACCTGACTATCCCCCACTCCACCCCTCGGCAATGGTATAGACCGAATAACCCGCACCACCGGCCGAGGGAAGCACTGGTTAAGACAGTCCAAACACCATTCGCCCTTACCAGGGAAGAGCAGCGAGTCAACTATTACTCCTACTAGGTCTGGGGCCGAAGTTTTCAGCTTGAGCTCCTCCGATCGAAATCTCGGGATCCAGTTATTCTCCATAATTCTAACCTGGGATGCCTCCCCAATCTGCCATCCAAGACCCTTGAGAAGCAAATATCTTCCATGGAGAATACTAGTCCACCCCCAAGAAGGTCTCGATCGCCGTGTCGCTGAAAGAATAGACGTCCGCTGAAAATATTTACCTTTCAACATCTTTGCCAGCAACGATTCCGACTCCTTCCGAATCCTCCACGCTACCTTTGCCGACAGCGCCTGATTAAAGTTCTCAAACCTCCGTCAAATTTACTCCGGCACAGGTTACGCCATGACACCTAGTGAGCCTTTTCCTTCTCCCCTGAAAATCCCCACCAAAATCGTGCCATGTACTTATCCAGCTTACGACACATAGTCACCGGTAAAAGGAAACACGACATGACATAAATCGGAAGAGTTGCGTCGACAACCGCCTTAAGTAGAACTTCTTTCGCCGCCCAAGACAGTTTCTTCTGTTTCCACCCTTGGAGCTTAGCCAATAACCTCTCCTCCAGATATTGAAACATTTCCAATTTCGACCTCTGAACTAGGAACAGAAGACCCAAGTACTTGTCCTGAACACCAATCGCTCCCACTCCTAAGATGGCCGCCATCTCCGCTGCATCAGAAGGATCCACATTTTCACTAAAGCACACCGCAGATTTACTCAAATTCACTTTCTGACCACTCAAATCCTAGTACTCCTTCAACAGCCCAAGCAACGTTTCACATTCACGCTTGGATGCCCGGAAAAACAGGTCTGAGTCATCCGCAAAGAAGAGATGAGACACACTGGGGCTCTGAGGATTGACCTTGACCCCGACCAAACTTCTTGTCTAGATAGCCTCTCTAATTAGCACCGCAAATCCTTCAGAACATATGCCGAATAATAATGGAGATAAATGATCTCCTTGACGCAGTCCCCTCGTCGATTTAAAGTACCTAGACGGTGTACCATTCATCATTACAGAGAATGTCGCTGTAGAGACACATTCATGTACCCACCCAATCCATTGAGCACTAAACTCCATCTTAGTCATTAGAGCAAACAAAAAAGGCCACTTAACTCTATCATAGGCCTTTTTCATATCAACCTTCAGAGCTAAGTAACCTTTTCCCCCCTGCTTTTTAATTTTAAGATAGTGCATAATCTCATGGCCAATCAGGACATTGTCTACAATCTGGCGTTCACGAATAAACCCATTCTACTCTGGTGAGATAATAGAAGGCAAAATGATGGCCATTCACTCAGCCATGATTTTCGAAATAATCTTATAAAACATCAGATAAAGACGGATCGGTCGAATCTGCTTCATCGTTTCAATCGCTTCCACCTTAGGTACCAAAGTCAACCATGTATGATTAAAACTTTTCAAAAGTCCACCAGACCGAAAAAATGACTAGACCGCCTCCACCACATCCGGACCCACAATGTCCCAATAACTATAATAGAATTTTCCCGTGAAGCCATCAAATCCTGGCGCCTGCGTTGCTCCAATATTGAACACTGCTCTCTTAATCTCCATCGCAGTGACCTCCGCCGTCAGACTCCTGTTCATCTCAAAGTGTGCCGCTCTAAACACTAACCTAGTAGATTAATTTCATTATGTGTTATCCAAAAAATTTAACTCCTACAAACTGATAATAACTTTGTTTACGTTAAAATAAAATTCCTTACAAAGTCGATAATTTATTCACATACTTGAAAATATCATGCCCATTGATGATATGTGAATATACCACCATGATTCAAATGTATATTATTACCGTTCAAAATTGATAGTATGTTGGTATAGTTTAGAAATACCGTATTATGGTAATATAAGACACGACAATGACCACATAATCAAAACAATAATATATTTTATTATAATCGTAGTGCATGGGTCGGATGATTAAAATATCTAAACCCGTATCACCCGACCCATGTACACCCCTAGATAGCATTACTACTCAATTAATAAGATATTAGAACTGTGCTTACTTTTTTATTAGGTGGATTGATACAATCCAAATAGTGTAATTTCATAGAAGGGTACCATAGTCATTTTTGAATATTGTGTTTAAACTAACAACAATAACATAGAAATTAATGGGAGAAAAACAATAAATAATATATGTGTATAAGGTTAACCAGGTTTGTAAGGTTTCTGGTATATTTTGTTGGGAGAAAACTTGTCATTAGCAAAACAAAGTGTGTTATGCTTGGTATGGATGAGTGTTGTGCTAACCTTGGGGATTGACGTTGTGATGGCAGCAATTTATAATAAGCATTCAAGACTAATGAACTGATTGAGATTGCAGGGAGATAAGCTTACCTTGTATGCAGATTGCTTGAAGACAATATCACCGGGCGATCTTAGTCTCAAGTAGGTGACACTAGGTGCATCCTCTCCAATGGGTTGGCGCTCAAGGAAAGTTGTCCAATGGCCACAACAGCAAGCGATCAGCTCAGCATAAAGAGGCTAGAAGGAGGAACTTTCCTTAGAAGAGCAGATTCAGAAATCAGAAGTTTTCAAGGAAAAGCTGTAGCTTACCATTCCTGACGTGATTCAGAATCTGGTGAACAAGGAAAGAAAGGTGAAGGCAACGGTCAGATTGTAGAAATTATATAAGGGGCTCTTGGGTAGATAGAAAGGCAGACTTTTCGGTAGAACAAAATCAAAGAGTGCAAAGGGGATTTGCGAGTGATTTTGAGAGAAAAGTCAGCACATGAGTTGGGGAGATTTCTGGGTTCTGATATTGGGGAAATATCAGGGTTTCTATTAGCTGGGTAGCTGATAGAGAGTAAGCTTCGATCAAGCGGGGAGCTGATCGAACGGGTTTGAGTGATTCTATAAATTCGAGAACTTAAACG